CGAACGGCGACATCCAGCCCTGATTGGCCTTCGTCGCGGAGCGGTTGAAACAACCGGATGCCCAGAGCGCCGACGAGAGCCACAGGCGTTGTCCGTTGGCGCCGATGTTGGGGACGGAGGCGAGGTCGACGTGGGCCATGGAGAGGATGTGGCGTCGCGCGGCGTGGCCCCCCTTCATCGCACGCCAGATGGCGCTCTCGGCGACGGCGTTTTGTTTGGGGGTGTCGGGCGCGGTGTACTCGCGCCGGATGCCAGCGGCGTCGCAGAACTCGATGAAAGCGGCGCCGGTGAACTCGCCGCCGTTGTCCATGCGAAAACATCCCGGAGTGCCCATGCCGTTCATGTCGGCCACGTACTTCAGGGTGTCGCTCTTCGCCCGGATCCCGTGCGCGCGTTGCCACCGCGACGCGCTGTCCACGAACATGATGAGATACCGGGAGCCGTCCATCGCCTCGGTGAACGGGCCCGTGAGATCGATGTGGACCTTGCCGAACGGCACCGCCGCGCGTGTCCCACGCCGCGGCACCGGGGCCCTCCTGCCCTTCGCCTCTACACAGCCAACACATGGCTGCAGCTCCCCGACCAGCCGAACACCCTGCTGCTTGGCAGTCTCACGCATCAAAAATTCATTTACGTGGCCGGTGGAAGCGTGGAACAGGTTAATGTCGATGGTGGGCGTGGATTTTCCTACCGAAAATGGGGAAGCACCGGGGGCGATAATCGCCAACGCGTGGGAAAGAGACGGAGGGGCTACGGCCTGCTGCTCATTGCACTCGGAAAGAAAACCTCTCAACACCTCCAAATCATCATGCTGCACAGTGAAAGCCAAGGGAGGGGGCTCCGCAGACGCAGAGAATTCATGCGCATCCGGAAAAAAATCACCCGGGGGGACCGTGTCTTTGCCATCCATCAACCCAACATCTAGGAACATGCTCATGTCCATGATCGGTAATTCGTCCTGAGAGACAAGGGCGTTGATCTCGACCTCGCGAAAGTCTGTTAGCTCTCGCACTACACCGGAAGTGGTGGAGGGGACGCTCGGACACGAAGGTGCTACACCGTCGGATCCGGTGGGCTGGACGCCAGAAGTCGAAGGTACAACGCCGACCGATGCGACGGACTGGAAGCCGGGAGTCGAAGGTACAACGCCGACCGATGCGACGGACTGGAAGCTAGAAGTCGCACTCGCACTCGAACTCGAACCGTTGCCCGTTCCTGCACTCTGGAAAGGGGGGGGAGCGGCCGCAACAAATCCTGCGCCATTCGTGGACGCTTGCGCAGGCAAACGGGGAGGGTTATCGGGGCTTGTGGTTACAGCATTACCACTGTAATCTTGGGGCAATCTAGTAGCCCAGAGCGAGCATCCCACGTCAGAGTACGCGAAGGAACGTTTACCATCAAAGAGATGTACACCAGTCTCGTCTAGGACGATCCGCTGCTTACGCTGCATGTGGTGCAACGAAAACAAATTGAATGTGATTCCAGGCACAACGTACACGTCCGACATCTGCACGCAAAAATCACGCTCTCCTCCCTGGTCTTGCATGTGGAAGGCCATGTTGACCGTCCCCAAACATTGTACGCGCAAATAAGCACCGTTGCCAACCTGTATGTACTCCTTGCCTGTCGGCACTGGCCGCAAGTCAAACATCTGATGACTACTGCTCACAAAAGTGTTCGTCGCACCGCTGTCGGCCCAGAAATTCTCCCTGCCAAAGTGGGAAAGCGGGTTCTGCACAGACAAAGCAAATCCTTTCCCACTCGGAACGATCTCGCCTGCAGACACGGACGTGCCATCAAGAAGTGAAGGGAGCCCGGGGCCGGTGCTGCTGCTCCGGGAGGAGATGAGTGGGGCGGGGCATGAGTCGAGTGCTGCTGCTGCTGCGGCGGCTGCGGCGGCTGCCGNTCTGATGACTACTGCTCACAAAAGTGTTCGTCGCACCGCTGTCGGCCCAGAAATTCTCCCTGCCAAAGTGGGAAAGCGGGTTCTGCACAGACAAAGCAAATCCTTTCCCACTCGGAACGATCTCGCCTGCAGACACGGACGTGCCATCAAGAAGTGAAGGGAGCCCGGGGCCGGTGCTGCTGCTCCGGGAGGAGATGAGTGGGGCGGGGCATGAGTCGAGTGCTGCTGCTGCGGCGGCGGCTGCTGCTGCTGGAACGTCGGCGGAAGCGGAGGCTGTGGCTGCGGCTGCTGCTGCTCGTAGTAAGGCGTCGGTGGCGGGTGGTACGGCTGCTGCTGCTGGGTGTAGTCAGGCGGAGGCTGCTGGTACTGTGGCTGCGGCTGCTCCCAACCCCCATACTCGCTACTATTTGCGGGCCCCCCGGAGGGCGCGGCACCGTAATCATGGTGCATCACGATTGCATGCCGGTACGGGGGTCGCCATTGCTGCTGCTGCGGGCGAGGGGGGGCTGAGTTTCCATACCTTGGCTGCGCTCCGCGTCCGCCGTGAGGTCCGTGCTGGGGTCCACCACAAATCGCGTTGGCCAGCTCGTCTGCGGAGGGGTTGGGCGATGGGCCCCCAGTTTCTTCTTGCTGGTATGGCACCCCTTGTTCCTCGTTCCCGCTCCGGAGACCTTCTGTGCTCTTCTGCTCGGCTCNCATTTGTAGTCGGATGACAGGGCGGACACCACGTGGTCGTTGGCTTCGTTGTCGGGATACACTGTCCCGTGCGACGCTAGCCTACTCCGCAAAATACAGAACCTCCCGAAGTATTCTTGTGGGATTTAACCCTCATGCATCGCGAAGCTATGGTACTCCTTCAAGAGTCTCTTTTTCTCTGCTTTCGCTTGGGGCTCGTTATACTAAGGAACCTCCATCCCTCACTCGGGCTTCCGTCTGACACGATTTCCGACAAGATGGGCATGTATGAGATTGACGTGATGAGTAAATTCGACGCCACTACAGCCTTAGCTACCTTCTGATCGCCATACTCAGTCTTCAGGTCTACCATGCTGATTCCTTGCCTCCCTACTGGGATGTCCTGGTCGCTCATTACTACCTCGTGAACATCCTCCTGTGCAAACCGTGCTGCCATGCTCGATCTGAAAATCAAAAGCTTCTGCTGCCTATTGTCCCCCTGCTTAAACACACCATCCCAAGGCTCAATTCGTCTAATCTCAGTCATTCGGCGTGTTGCAGAATGAGGTACTGGACCGATGTCCCCTGATGAGGTCTGAAGGCGACCGGCCATGGCAGTCGCAATCGCGTTGGCCAGCTCGTCTGCGGAGGGGTTGGGCGATGGGCCCCCAGTTTCTTCTTGCTGGTATGGCACCCCTTGTTCCTCGTTCCCGCTCCGGAGACCTTCTGTGCTCTTCTGCTCGGCTCGATGCCGCACCTCCATCTCGGCCATCTTCTTGGCCAGTTTCTCCTCCATCATCTGCTCCATCCGAGCTGCTACTCTCTCGTTGACCAGTTCTTCGATCCTGGCGTCCTCCGCTGCTTGGCGGGCCTCCGCTGCTTGGCGGGCTTCATCTTCGCGCCTGGTAGCCATCTTGACCCTGCTCGCGATCGCCGCAAAGCGATACTCCTAAACCAAGCTCGACCGCGAATCTCGTAGACGACGTGTCATCCGCTAGCGTGATCGATAATTCGGGTGGCTCAGTTGTGTGTGATGGGAGTGTAGAGCAACCTCGGCCATGACGGGCCGTAGGGGTAGGTAAAGTCGTGCAGACGTGTTGAAAAACGTGTTATATTCATCGGGGGCGTGCTTGAGCTCGTCATTCCATCACGGCTTCAAGTCACGCATAACGCTCAAACACCCAAAACGAATCTCCATGAATGTCCACCAATCTACCACACTCCCAAGGAAAACATAAAGAAACTTCTTGTTCCTCCGTAGTTCGTCACTGCAANGCAACCTCGGCCATGACGGGCCGTAGGGGTAGGTAAAGTCGTGCAGACGTGTTGAAAAACGTGTTATATTCATCGGGGGCGTGCTTGAGCTCGTCATTCCATCACGGCTTCAAGTCACGCATAACGCTCAAACACCCAAAACGAATCTCCATGAATGTCCACCAATCTACCACACTCCCAAGGAAAACATAAAGAAACTTCTTGTTCCTAAGTAGTTCGTCACTGCAAATCCCGTATATGTATACGCAATATACCACCCCCATGCTATGCTACGAGTACATCGAATATAGGGTGCATCTCCCTGTTGGAAATTGCATCTCATGGAATACGCACGACGAAAGCCAACCATGTTGAGTACAATCTCCTTCAAGACTGCTGTAGACCAAAAGTCAGCTGCTGCTGCTGTGGATACGTATGCATCTCCCTGTTGGAGTTCTATGCATATCTTGGCGGATTTGACGGGAAAACGCAAGAAGTTGTGCGTCCATATTTGCCCGACGCTTCAAAGCGAAACATCCGCCTCAACAACGCAGATTCGATTTCTTTTTTTTTTTTATTTTTCCAAATACAACACAACGAGTCCATTTCCGTCAGAGAAAAGAGTCAAAGACAGATTAGCAATGGAATCATAGCGTCAAAGAAAACTACCTGTTGTGTGTCCACGATTTCCCAGACAGCATATATGGACATCTCCCCTGCGGATAACAGGCTCAACAAGACAGTTTGGTAGCTGTGTTGTGATTTCTTCGATTTTCGACAGTGAGTGGCCAGAGAATCGAGAAACAGTCGGATCAGCCACTACGTGGCCGAGGTTCCTCTCCGATGAAAATGATATCACCCGTAACCCGTGACCCGCCTGTTTCGAAATTTGGTCGATCTCCCATGGATGAGAATTTTGCGGCCGTCGCCTGAACACAGTCGGCACACAGCACACGGTAGCTTCCACCCAACAACAATCAATTAATTAGACAAACTTGTTTGGTGTGTTGTTGATGTACTAATCGGTTTGAAGTGAATGCGAGTGGCGTCGTCACTCGCTTCGCTCGAAGGCACTTCACGGGATTTCGGGTGCGGTGCAGTGTGCGGTCACAGCGCGGCTAGACTCGCATGTACTCAAAGGCGGTTCATGCGCAGGCAACGTGTTGTCCCCCTCTAGAGGAAATTCGTTATTTGCTTCGTGGACACACTTGTGTGCCCCTCTCTTCGCTCGTAGACACTTGGGTGCATCGCACAAGAGGATGAATTGTTCGACCACTCAGCAAGTAAGTGCATATCCCCCTCGAGACGCCTTGCCCCACCCAAACTGTTGTACAGTACTCCAGGCCATACACACACCGGTTCACTCGCTTGGGGCATTGTGTGACTGTCTCTCGTCCAGTGTAGCGTACGAAACTCTTCTACCAGCCACGTTAACAGTAACTGCTGTCGCAGGTGCTTCTTGTCGCATGTCGGAGAGAGAGTTGACTACATCAATGGGCGATTGGAAAGCCTACTTTTGGAATGCAAGACATCGTCTGGTAACACGAGGAACAGGCCATCGAGAGTTTTCCCCCTTGGTACGGTGGTGTACCCCTGACCCTGGGCGACGAAGCATTCGCAGGGTACATCCACGCCGCTTCCCCTCTTCTAGAAGCACACACATACATGACGAAATAAGCGAGCATCACAGCCCGCCCCACGCGCTCTTATTCATTTTGGCTCCAAGCCGTCATGCGTGGGATGCGGAGCGAAACCTGCACTTCCACATGTGCTCTGCAGGATAGCAATCAATTAGACGCTCTTTGCCACCAAATTGCCGACCCCATCCATGTTACTCGTCCCACATCCGGGTCCCTCCTGCATGGGTACTGTGGCCCTCGCATTGCCACCAGTCTCCGGACCGGGGCAGAGCACTTCTACTGCAAGCCAGCGAAAGGTCACCACGGCAAATCCTGCCGCTCTTCACCGCCGCTACCTCTAATGCCCCCTCAGCACGCCCTTTGCTCCTCATTCTGACGCAACCTCCGCCGGATAGTTTACATGATCTGTTTCTCAATGGTGGCTACGGCGACTCTCATGCAGCACTCCATGTAGCGGACTGTGCTGATGGATGTCAACGGTTTGGCTTCGCCCCCGTGCTCCCTGCCCTCCTCGAGTGACTCCGTTCCTTGAGCCTGCGAGCGAGCCTCTCCCGTTCCGTCTCCTTCGCGCCTCCCCTCCCGTTCCCGCCACCGGCCGCCCCGGCCGAACCTTCTTCCATCACCACGGAACCCCCTACAATTTCCTGGCGACGGGGGCTGGATTTTACCTGGGAAAACGTGCGAACAAGATGCTATCCTGCTGGTGATTGTGCTGGTGTTGTTTAGCCCTCGGGTCGTTGTTGTTAGTGTTGGTGGTCTTCATACTCTGTTAGTGGTACGCCCCCGCCGTTGAAATGTGGTTGCTGTGACTGACCCCCCAACAAAACCGGAGTATTGCCTACGTATCTTATCTCGATGGCGGTAGATGTCAACACCAAAATCGACGAGATATGAATATCTGTGGCCACAGGCGGTGACTCACAATAGGCGAAACAACAACAACGAAAAAAGGAGTCAGTTGGCAGGGCCAAACAGCTGAAAGCCAACGTCGTTGCTGTTCATGAAGATCGAAAGCAAGACTTCCTCCGCAACAATGCTCGACACACAAACTCGTTCTGAACCAGCGTCACGAAACGCCAAGACACAAGGCACACAACATAATCACAACGCCTTTCCGTGAAAGCGCGCGCCATTCTCCGACAACAACAATGAAGAACCTTCAACGGCCCGCCTAACTGACTGACCTTCTCCTGTGTCTTCAGGAAGAAGAGCAAGTCTTGCATCTGCCCTTCTAGCTCCGACATCTGCTGCTCGCACTGCCGCCTTGTCTGCCTCGCCTCCTCGGCCAAGCGGCCCTCCTCCCGCTTCTGGCTGCGCTGCTCCGAGACCAGGCCGCGGTTCTCCGACCGAACCCTACGGGCCGTTTCCTGGCGGGGCATCGGCGAATGAAAACACTGCTTGAGATGCTATTGTAGTTACATGGCTCATTCTCCCCGACCCATGGTAATAAGACTCACACTCGGCGTTCTCTCAGGTGTTAACTCGAGACACGACACATGCACCAACATCACCAATGCCAAGTCTGACATAACAACAACAACAACAACAACAACACGCGGAGCAGCGACGCACCTCGTCAGTCCTGAGGCTGTCCAGAATCTCCTCGTACTTGCCGGACAACTCGTCTATCGCCTCCCTCAGCTTGCCCACCTCCGCCCGTTCCTCGTGCGTGAGAACCTCTTCCACGGGCGCGTTCGCCTCGGCGTCGACAGCCACTGCAGTGGCGATCAGATCCTCGAAGTACCTTTTTTCCGAGGAGAACGACGACGACAGCAGCAGTACCTTTCTCAATGCCGTGCCGGTGTTACAAGCCGAGGCTCGAAGGCGCGTCACGATAAATAAGCTCCCAACCTTTTTCGTTGCTGCTGTGTCTCCAACCAACCCCTGCCCTTGCGTCGTTTCATAAACCTTGCAATGGCCTGTCAAAAGCGCGGCCTTCATGTCCCTTTGACAGTCACTAAAAAAAGGAGTGCGGACCACGGCTGGTCGAAACTCTCCTCCCGCTTCCAACCTGACGGCTTCGACGACTTCGACGGCTTCGACGGCTTTGACGTCGTCATGGATGGGTGGTTGCCACAAAGCAGCGTCTTATGCCAACTAACCAGAATATGTGTGAGACACCCCTCCGGGACCCCAGAAAACCGAACCAAGAGATTCGAACGAACCGACCTTGACGGCGGTACGACCATCGTAGGTCTAGTTCTCCCGGTTCACATTCAAACGTCAGTTTCATCTTGTCTCCGACAACATACCCTTCTTTGTTGAAGCGGGCGGCGCAACTACTGTCAACAGCGGTCTTTTTCCTTGGGGACCAAGGCCAGAAGGGAAACCAACCTCTGCCAAGACCGAACAAACGCGAATCAGAACGAAAATGACAAAGGGAAAAAAAACAACGCGCCCTAAGTCAGGACCGGTCGAAGGTGCAAGCAAACTGATTACATCACCTTTGCTGCTCCTGCAGCTGCCTGGCGACAAGGGCCTCGTACTCCCTCGACACCACCGCCATCTTGAGAGAGCTGGCGTCTCCGTGGTCATCAAATTCCCCCTGCGATCGCACACAACGTGTCGGACGGGACGTAATCGGCGGAGTTACCAGAGCGAAGGACAAGTAAATACCATTGTCCACGCAAACTTTCCCCTCCAAATGCAGAACGGTCTTGTTAACGAAACAACGTCCATCCGCCAAAAACAGCAGAGGCACGTGGGTAGCACGGCAGCAACGTCGGGAAAATTACTACCACCAATTGAGCGTAGCTTGACCGTCCCCCCGCCCTCCTCCGGAACACGACATTCTATTTTCCTTCGTCTGATACCCGGGCACGTATGCACACCCGGGGAACCGGCCTCCGTAGCCGGACGTTCTCGCAGCTGGGGACGAAGATGCCAACGTTGAGGATGGAAAACACGCAAGAGCTCCTAAACGACACACAAAACAGAAAGGTATGTTTGGCAACCCTTCTATTTTGCGAACGAAAAAAGATGGCCGCTGCGAACTTCGGTCCGAGGGGGGGGGCGGTGCACTAATCGCGCGCCTCGACTTGCCCATGTGGGCAGAATACAGGTGCCCGAGAGAAACGCTCTGAGTGAAAGAACAGGAAGAACTACTGTTGTAAACCCAAGCCCACAATAGATGCTGGAGGAGTTCTCGCCTTCGCAACGGGCGGCGGCAGACAGCAAAAAAAAGGCGTTCCAACCAACATCGGAGCTACGTTTTCCTTGCTTTCATAGGGAAGTTAGGTGCTACGTGACAAAACACGTACGCGTTGGGTCTTACCTCAGAATACAACGGAGGGGATCCATCCCGCCCCCCCTCCCCCCCACCCCCTTCTCCGCCACCCGCGGCGCCCCCTTCCGCGCCCCGAGCGCCTCCGGAGCTATCTCGCCCCCAGCGCTCCCCATCCCCCCTTTGCCCTTGCCCTTGCCGCCCCGCCCTGGCATGAGAGGGTGCGAGGTGCCCGCGGAGCGCGCGGTGTGCGTAGCAGTCACCGATATAGTCCCACACGCGCCCAGTGCTGAGCTCGAGGCTGCCGAAAACGGTTGCACGGATGAGGGCAGAAGGGGAGCTGTTTTGGCGTCTGTGCCACGTGGTGAGAGAGCTAGCCCCAACAAAACAACAAGAAGCGAATCGAACGTGCACTATTGTCGTGTCTCCTTCTTGCGCTGGATCCGTGCCGAACAAAAAAAAAATGACCAACAACCAGAAACGGGTATACCCGGGTACTTCAGCACGACTTTTTTGTTTAGGGTACAGTTAGAAATCAACACGCTTGCACCCCCAGGCTGTCAGCTGATTGGCCGAAAAACCACTGTACCCATTTCCGAAGAAACCTCCATCGGGTACAACTTCCGCTGGAATTAGGACCCTCTGGTGTGACCGATATTGGTTACTGGTGTACCCGAAAGAGGTCAATATTGTACCCAGAAATGGTCATGTAATCCCGGCGCCCAACGCTCTAGCATAAAACCCGCAGAAAAAAACGCGTACCGCACATACCGTGTACCGCACATACATAATCACAACCAAACCACCAACAAGCTCGCTCGTTCATCTTTCATGGGGACCGCCTCCATAGGATACCGGCCCTTCTCAGCAGAGGCTCGGACTCGCTTGACGCGCGAGTACTTCAGTGTGGTACTGATCAGTAAAAGGACAGAGAGAGAGAAAAACGGGCATGACCTGCCTCGTGCATCATGCTTCCGAGGCACAGGACAAACAGGACACAGACAGCGGTTTATTGGTTTCACCGCGATCTACGGCGGATGCTGTCAGAGATTGGTGTCGTCTTGATTTCCAAGTGTACCCTGAAATGGTGATAATCTATCCGGGTATACCCGTTTCTGGTAACTTCTCGATAAAAATCCCCATGCCGAACAAGCAAAAACAGTTGATTGAGCAGGGACCCTCTGTCACATCTCTCTCCCGCGTTGAGCTCGTTACCTACACGCCACCAGGATTCGGCCGCCGGTAACCAAGTCGGTGGCGTTTTCGCTTGACTTTCGCCGATGTAGCCTGTGCGGAGCGCCAATCGTGCCTCCTGTGCGCGACCGTGTTTTTCGACACTCACAAGGCGGGCTGCTGACGCAAGAAAATCCTGACATATTCTAGTAGTTTACAGACGCCTCCTCACTCAACGAATGCTCTCTCTATCCTGCAGACAACAGAAAACAATTCTGCCCTTAACTATGTACATGAATGTTCTTCACCTGTAGGTATGGCTCGAGAGATGGAAGTGGCGGCTCGCATGCTCTCCCGTGTAGCGGCCGCATCCAATGTGCCCGCACACCATGCAGATCCAGAGGTTATGTGCGATGCGGCAAGTCTCGCAACACAGCTTAGGGCGGCCGGGGGAGAGCACGCACACATGAGAAACACACACACGGGTAGGAAAGCGGGGGGAGGAGCGTCAAGTAGAAGGCAGTTGTCAAGTTGAGAAGACTTTCCCTCAAAAAAAAAAAAGGGCCACAGCCCTGGTTGCAGCCCTGGGCGCAAGGAGGTTCGGCTGGAAAAGAACAATGCAGCTGGTAATCGTTTGCAGTTTTTCGACATCAACAATTCAAGCCCTACACGCTTGAACAAAAGAAGAAGAGGCAAAACCGGCAGTCTACCTGCAGCAAGCAACACTACCCCGCCGGCTGTGCTGTGAAGTAGCGACAAACACAAGTACGTCGTGTGGATGGAATGACATTCCTGCGAGTGCAAAAAGAACGACGCTGTGCCCGTTCTGTGAGTATGCGGCGTCTCCGCCGACGCACACTAAAGAAAACGCCGCCGCCGTATGAAAGCAAGAGATGACCCACCTCACCCGGAGCCCCGTTCAACGCCACGTTAAGCGAGCGGCAGACTCGGCAGTTCGACCCTTTCCACATCGTCACGTTCAGGGCGGGACCACCACCACCGACTGCGCCTTCTCGGCCTTCGCGGCGTAATCCTTCCTCCCCCCCCGGCCGCAGCGCGTCCATCGGCATCGCCCCCGACCTCCCCCCCTTCGTGGTCCTCTCTCCTTCCCACCGGGGCCCCCTGTCCCCGTGCTTGTCCCCGCCAAACGCCTGTCCCGCTGGGCTGGCTGCCTTCTTCTCGCAGCCAGGGTCATGCCCGGCTGAATCATCATCGTTGACACCGCTTTTCGGGCCACGCGAGGATCCCGCGGCGGCGGCGGTGGCAGCTGCTGCCGTTGAAGCCTCTCCCCCTTTCCCCCCTCTAGAGTTGCAGTCTCGGTGTCGACAGCTGCCGAGAATCGCCCCCGTAATGCCGCCGCCGCCGCTACCCCCCTCCCCCCCGCCACTGCTGCTGCTCTTGCTGCCGCTCCTCGCCGACGGTATACCGGAGACCGCAGGGTCGAGACGGTCAATACAGACGGGACATGGCGGGAGCTCGGTTCTGCTGCCCCTGCCGCCGCCGCCGCCGCCGCCATCACGTCCGTCGCCATTGAGATTGCGATGAGCTACTGCTCCTGCCGCCCCCCCCCCCCCCCCCCCCCCCCCCCCCCCCCCCCCCCCCC